ATTCGAAGACCTGGGAGACACAGCGGCCCGATCGTGGGTCCTGGGGGCATCAGCAGTGCAATCGCATTGGTGTTGCGGCTTTAAACCCTAAACCCCTAAACCCCCAAAGCCTAAACCCCTAAACTCCTAAACTCTGCATACAAACATCATGCAGAGTTCGCTCCGATCTCCCAAGTGTATGGCTCCGGCCTTTGACGGCCCCTATGCTGTCATCCCTTATGCCCCCCAGGTACCTACTATATAGGGTACTGGAGCCCCTAGGGCCCTACATAGTAGGTACCTGGAGGGTTAGGGATCATGTAGCGACAGAACAAGTCAAGGGCTTGTGCACATGGCCTAGATCGGTGTCGACATGTGTGGACAAGCAACTCCTTAACCGGGTACCTACTATATAGAGTACTGGAGCCCCTGTAGGGCCCTAAAAAGGTAGGTACCTGGACCCTAAACCCTAAACCCTAAACCCTGGAGGGTTAGGAAGCTGTTGTGACTCCTCCTTGCTGGGCGCTGCTTGTTGCCACACTTACACCCGGATAGACCGCAAGACATACAGATCGAGCCCAGAGCCATGCCTTGATTTTCAAAAATACAATCGATATAATCGTGCGTGTATATATACATACACACATACATACATACGTACATACATACATACATACATACATGCATACATACATGCATACATACATGCATACATACATACATACAGTATCTATTTCTTCATATCTATATAGAAGGAACATATACTGATTGGTACATGTAAGTAGCAGAGGTTCACGTGACTGGATTGGGAAGCGAATGGCGCCAATGCTACATTGTAAGGAACAAGTATCCCTAACCCTCCAGGTACCTACTATATAGGGCCCTAGGGGCTCTAGTTCCCCATTATAGTAGGTACCTGGGGGGTTAGGGTATTACTTCTAGCATTTCCGACCTCTATGTTACCCAAGCCACGGTCCCTAGTGACGCTTCGGGCTTCCGAAGGCTTCAAGTCTTACCTCAAGTCCCTTTCTCCTGAAGGGTACTATATAACTAGGCCTTAAAGTACAAACAAAAGGATTACCTCAAGGCCAACATATATTCTATATGGGCACGTGGATACCTTAGGGTTGCTCATAGCGTCCTAGGAATGAAACTTGATACACAAGCCACAGGAAGAGCGTATTGGCACGTCATATAGGCTTGCAGGGTGCAGGGCTCTCCCTACCTTACAGCTCTACGTGCATTTCTGTGGCCCTGGCGCGTGGCCAAGGTGCTGAGGATGGCATGGAAGCGCCCATCACCAACCACCTCGGGTCCAGGTTGTCCATAGGGTTTAGGGATTGAGGTATTGGCGGTCAGGAGGTTTGAGGGTAGAATGTTACTGTTGAAGGGCTGGCTCCAAACAAATACGTCATGATAGAAATTGAATGAGCGCGGAGTCTAGAATTTTGAATGCATACAATTCAGCACGTGTGCGTGTAAGGGCCGTGAATTCTGACGAACCCTGCTTGTGGCCATGTAATACAGAACCCAGGTAAACAAACAAAGGAGCAAGCTTGGAGAACATACCTATAGTATGTCTCCATTGTAGTTCCTTTTTTTGGTTTAACCAATTCTATACTAAGGATCCTAAACGGTAACCCAAAAAAAGGAACTACAATGGAGACTATAGGCGATATTTACCCCATGCAGATCCCTGGAGCCGACCAGTGCCAAGCCCCGCACTGAAATCCCTTCCTCCACACCTGCAGTCTTCATCCGGAACCATGAACTCTACCAGAACGCATCATAGAGGGTAGATGGGGTCTAGGTACTTTCGTTTTTAGAACCGAAACAGCATGAACCATAAATTTCAGGTCGCCGGAAGGCCTAAACCCTACGTCCTACAGCCCAAACCCTGAACCCCAAGCCCTGAACCCAGTCGCCGGCAGGCCTGCTTGTATGCGGGGCCCGCTGAGATTCGACCCAGGGTACGCAAGGCCGCCTTGCAATCGAAGCTGAGGGGTATAGGACACTATAGTAGCAAAGTATCTAGGCAACCAACAACAGCATTGGAGAGCTTCTTATTGTTCTGGGCTTTGGATTCTCAGGACTTCGCAGAGCGTCGGCTCCAAGATCCAGAGACATGCAAACCGAATCCAGGATGTTCGGCTCTTTATGGCCCTGAGCTTTTTGCGAGTGGGAGCTCGTCTTCCTTCGTCCGGCTCGGATCAGCCAGGAAGTGATCCATCCCAGCCTTGTGGAAGAGGTCTCCTTCCTCGAGCACAGCTTTCATGGCAGCCTCGCTGCAAGGTAAAAGCCTTGCGAGCTTGGTGTCAAGCAGAAAGCTCGGGGCTGTCCGTGCGCATGACGCGCTCGAACTCCCCCCCTCCTTGGCCTATGTCAGTGTCTCTTCTTCGGAGAAGGAGAATCATAAATCGCACGCTTGACCGTAGAAGCATAGATACCAGATCCCCGCAACGTCATAAAGGTGCCGGGCCTAGCACAAAGCCATAGAAACCCTGGCCTTAGCAAACTCGCTCTTAAGTAGTTACATCTGCAATACACCACCCGCAAAACCCCTAAACCGTACCCCAATATACGAGTCATAATTACTGGAACAATAGCGGGACAAAAAGATGATATCATTTCTAGATATTCCGACCTCTATGTTACAGCCCCTCGGCTGGAATCCTGAAGGGAGAAAAGACAGGTTTTGGCTTCACGCGTGTAGGGTTTACGGCTTAGAAATGTGCTGCCTCGCAGAAGAATGAGAAGAAAACGCTGGGTGTAGGGTTACGGTTACGAGCTGCGGCTTCGGATGCCAGGGCTGCGGCTGCAGGCTTAGGACCAATGCCCTAAGTGCTAGACTGCCACAACCCTCAACACATAAACCCCCAAACAGCAAAACAGACACCCGAAAGCCTTAGGAAACCAACCCCTAAACAATGAAACAGTAAAGAAACCAGAACTCTCAAAACCATGGGACTCCCAAACCCGAAAGGCTCGTACCTCTTCAAGCCCCAAATCCCCAAAGCTGCGTCCGTGACGGGGATTCTAGGGTTTAGGGTTAAGATTCCAGCCCCCAAGTTGTGAGAGTGTTGTAAGGTTGAGGGTTGTCTTTGAGGAAGACCTGGGGGGGGGGGGGGGGGGGGTAGTGCTTTTGGGTTTCAGAATTGCAAGCTTTGGGTTTATATCTATTGGGCTTCCGGGTTTCGGGACATGTTCTGGTGCAGGAAGGCTGGCAGAGTTGGTAGATCATAGGTCAAGTGTGGACATTAGACAAAAGGGAACGGGGATTAAGCAAATGATGCTCTTGGCAGAACTCGTGAGCTTAAACCCTAAGGCCCTAATGAGAAGCCGAACAAACTCACCCGTGCATAGCCTCGAATGTTCGCAGATCCGAATCGCTGTTCTTGTCCATGAAGTCCAGAAGCTGACAAACCAGAACATGAAGCTAGTACGAGGGGCTTCTTAGTTGGAACAGAGTCTCAAGGGCGTTTACAAGGGTTGTATTCCGCAGAGCCTGTAATGACTACATACAACAGTGAAAGAGTTCTGGGGCATACTAATTATGAGATATGAATAAGGAACCGTAGGGGTCCATGTTCCCATGTACTACACACCAGGGCTCCAAAGCACCTATACAAGAACAATTTGTACATGGACCTGCAGGGCCACGGTGCCCACGTACTCTGTTCAAACAGGATCCACAACTCAATCCTGGAACTCCTGAAATTCAATGATACCCAAACCTGAACCACGAATCCAACACTATCAAACATGCATCATCGTAGTAGCTTTCCCCTCCAGAAAATATTTGGAGGTTCATGGGTAGTTACACGTGCGGGCTATAGTTTATAAGTAAGGTAACTATATATGGTTCCAGGGGGCTTAGAAGCCCACTTATAGCTACCTATCACCCCACCAAGCATCCCAGGTGTCTCAGCTCCGGCTCTTCCTGCAAACCATACCTTCCTACGAATACGGCCGGGTACTGTCCTCATGTAGCCATAGTGTAGTCCTGCATCAACCCTAAAACCTGGCTCCGAACCCCTAGAACCTAAAACCCTTCATCCTAATCCCATTACACCTTCCTCGGTCCCTTGGCAGACCCTTTCTAGAACCCTGCCAGACCCCTTGCAGACACCTTTTTTTTAATCCCTAGACCTTTGAACAACGAAACCATATATGCCTCTAAAACCCTAAACCCTAAACCCAAAACCCTAAACCCGCGAACCCCAGAAGAACTCAACCCTGAATTCTGACCCCCCCCCCAAGCAGAGAACCCTCAAAGATGGGTCCTCCAAAGGGTCCGTAATGCCGAAGACCGTGACGGTGCGATCCATGCTGTCCAGGTAGGTGCGCCTGCGCCACCGGTTTCGGAACCCGAAACCCTATACCCTGTACCGTAATCCCTGTTCCCTAACCCTAAACCCTAAGCATGATATGTATATATATATATATGTATATAAGGGCTCAGATCGCTGGCGAGAGCTGCCAGATCAACTGTAGCCCCAGTGCTTCTTTAGGGCACGACCTAGCAGCCATAGTTCGGATTTCGCCGACGTGGCACCGCAACCAAAGGCGGCGACGGTCAAGAGATCGTCACCTGGTCTGGAAGGCTCGCTTTGCGGGCAAGTGGCCACCCTTAGCCTCTCTCCTGAGGCTCGAAGCCCACCACTCGGTCCCTCGATACGCTGAACTTCGGCGAATGGGCGGAAAGAAATGGGCAGATGGACGGGCCTTACCATCCTCGCAACCCTCGGCTCCGTGGCGTTCTTCGACCAATGCCAAGTGGAATTGGTGGCCTGGCACGTGGTCACCGCGAAGGCAGCCACAGGAAGTGCGCTACGACCAGATGGAAGTAAGCCATGCCCCAGACTACCGGAACGAGGGCCCCGAGGATGCTGCCCCCACCTTCCACCAGGCATTACAGAAGTCCCTCACGACGGCTCGCAAGCTGGATGGAAAGCTTCGGAAAATAGCGAGCGAAAAGGAGCGCAGGCACAAGCAGTGGCAAAAATACGAGGACCAAGCCAAGAAGACGTTCCTCAAGAATCGCAAGAACTACGAGGCGGACATCGCGAAGCTGGACAAAGAAGCGCAGGAGACTGTGGAGGCTGGCCAGATTGCAGCAGCCCAGGTGAAGGCGTTGGCCATCAAGGGCATTGCTCCAGCTCCCACAGCCGAGCCTATGGAAGTGGAGGCAGCATGGGAGACACTTTGGCGAAATGCCGAGGCTCCTCCATCAGGTGCGTCCTTTCTGCAAGAGGCTCTAGATGCAAGTGCAAATCTTGGTATTCCCAGGAATGCCCAAAGCCCTGGCCCACCAGGCTTGAATATCCAGCCACCGCCGCAGCAAACACAATTTGGTCAGATGCCTCCCAACGATGTCTCCAGCTTGGGACCTACCGAAGAGGAACTCCGCATACTACGCAAATATTGGGATTCGCCACTTGCCAATCCAGTGGAGGTTCAGCCAAGAATGAGACCCGGGGCGATGTCAGCGCCCCCCCAATCTGCTATTGCGGCAACGGCGCTTGGTGGACCACCTGCCGAACATCCTGCAGGACCTCATGTCCCTCTTGGCTATACTGGAGCGTCGCCAGACCAACGAGTGCACAGGTCTGCGCCTTACCCTCCGGCCTCGCCTTTGCCCTCAATGCCTACTCGATCGGAGGAGAATGCTGCCACGGAGATGCCTATGCATGCTGGACCACCTCCTGTCCCGCACGCGCCCAAATCTGTCCGTGCACCTATCAAGGAGGCTACCAAACACCTTCCGGCGAAGCCACAGAATGCTGGAGTACCTTTACAGGAGAAGCTGGAGCAAAAGCGGGATCAGCTCAAAGGTACCGCTACCCAGCCCTTTCGGCTGCCACCAGAGCACAGTGCCAGCATATCAGACACGGGAGATCCTCCTCAACAACGGGCCAACCTCATAGACGACGACAAGGAGGACCTGCTCTCGGTATCGCCAGGGTTCGGACAGCTGGAATGAGGGTATCCTGTGTAGCGAGTGGCTGGAGGGCACTTTCGCAAGCAGTCCTCCACTTGATGTCTTTTGTCATTCTATGGGACCCGATGCCATGTGAGCCATCTCTGGCTCCTTGGCTGAAGTCGTCCCCTGGAATTGACACTGACAGCGATGTGGATTGGACTGGCAGACGACCGTGCCCTCTTTTCAGGCACAATGTGAAAGCTAGTGGCTTGTCCCCTCCTAGCCAGGCTGTGACTTCCTTTGTGACACCGCAGCCTGCACCCCATTTTATGCTGTACAGTTGTACAGGTTCTGCTGGATGCTCTGAAGCACTTTCTTGTAGCAGAAGCAAGCCGGTCATTCCACGGGTCTTTTGGAATGCTGACTTGTCTGTCTGTCCTTCCTCGCGAAGACAGGAGTCACCTTGGTCTCTGGTGACTTTATGCCTTCCATCGCCACTCTGCCAGCGGTCTATGCTTCTTCTTGACCATACTGCTGCACAACACTTTGTTTGTGCTCTCCTCACAGGTATAAGTCCCCATGTTGCATTTTGGGCTCCTTGGTGTGTGCAAAAGAGCCGGATCGGTTGCTCTGGGCCGGCCACCACCTTCACCCCCATCGTCTCTTGGGGCCGCTGTGAGTATGGGTCTTGTCAGTCTTGTTCGCTTTGGAGACCTCCGTGGTCGGATCACTGGGCTTGTGATGCCTTCCATGAAGATGCTCCCTCGTCATTGCGGGAGGATAAGTCACTTTGGTTTTATGTGACTGATCTCCTCCCCTTACCACCCCGCTTTCCCTGTCATCTGCCCATCTTGAGTTCCAGAAAAGTTGGACAGTCTCGATCACCATATTATTACTATAGTGCATTGGGCGCCGGCCCCTTTCATCAGTGGCACCAGATGTAATCGTATGAAAGATGTGCCGCATCTTTGCGCTTACAATCTCCCCTCTGCCAGCAACTCCTGTGCGCGCAACACATGTATCGGTCGCTCTGGGACATGGGCCAGGAGTTTGCATATCCTGTCACTTGGGCAGGTTTTGCAGAGTAGTGAGGATGAAACACAGGTAGGCCTAGTCATTGGCCTTCTTCTCCAACTAGCCTCTCACCTGGTTCCCTTTGCTAAAGGGCTTCTGGGTTTTCTCTTCTTGGGTCTTTGTCGTTTACTAGTTCGCTCTCTCCCAGGACACAACACTCCGCTCGGCAGGTCTGCTCGTGTTCTGACCAATGGTGCACCTGGGAAGGTGTTTCGTGCTTTCGCAGTTTACAGCCCTGCCTGCTGCTCTGCTGCAAACAGCAGGTAGCCAGCGGAAGCCTGAAAAGACCACCTGGAGGCGCCGTAGGATGTCAACGGGGGGCTCTCTCCTCGGCTTCATGCTTAGAATGCTGGCTTTGCCTGTACTAGTGCGCAGTGGCTCAGAGGATGCCACGGTTTTGCACCATATACATGAGGCTGTCACTGCTTTCCAGCCTGATGAGCTTCCCAGTGGGTCGGTAGGTTCTGCTGTGCCACCTGAGGAGCTCCAAGCTCCCCACAGTGCTACTGTGAGGGAAAAATCTCGGGAGCCCATTCAGCTACTGGTTGCCAGATGCCAGGACGAATCCCATTTTGAGGCTTATGGCGAGTTCCTGGACCCGCCTGTGCTTAGAATTTGTGTCCTCATACCAGGGCGCCAGAACATCATACTCAGGCTCTTGTCCGCAGAAGGGGGTGCGCCCTCTGTGCTTGCACAGGCTAAGCAACAAGTTGAGCCTCTTATAGAAGAAAGTTGTGACCTTGTTCCCATTACCCACCAAGCTCTTGCTGGTATACTAACACTTGTTGCAGTCCCAAAATGGATAAAGGCGTCCCTCCGATCAGTTGTCGTTTTCGATCTTTCCGCGATTGGAGGGCCCCTCTTTGCAGACATCGTCTGGCAACTTGTGTATAGAAGTGAGGTAGAAGCCCTTGCTGCTCCATACCATGATGTCCGTGTTAATGTGTACACACAGAATTGTCCGGTCGGATGGGCAGCTGGCACCCCGTACAAGCTCCTCTCGGGTCAGGTTGTTCAGGTTCAGTGGCCAGACACAAGGCCACAGTGGAGAAGTCTGCCCGAGGACTCACTATGGCCATTGTGGACTAGGTACGAGCCTCCAATCCCAGAATGCACCTCCTGGGACAAGTGGCTCATAGCCCGCGAAGATGGAGCCAGCCTGCTTAAGAGTGACTGTTGCGACTCTGCGACATTGTACCAGGCTGTAGCGGACCAAGTCGGCTGTGATGTTTCTCAACTTTGCTTTCAGCGGGACCCACATGGTCTTGCCCAAGGGAACTTCACATTTCAAGGTAAAAAGGTCAAAGGTATTGTCGCTGTTGCGGCTCGCGACACAGGTCCAGTTGAGGTCGGCTTCACCTTCGTCGACGCTAGAAAGGTGGGTAGAGGGGTCAGAGCTTTCCTTCGTAATGTCTGGGTTGAAGCTTCTTCTATCCTACGTTGCATAGACCCCAAGGTCCCACCTGGATATTCTGTTTCGCTATGCACATGTGCTTGTGCTGCTCTTGAAGCGGGTGATATTCCCTGGGACTGGCAGGAAGTTTGCTTTAGGGCAGATGACCTAAACCAGCCTCTTAACGTGAGTTTGCAGGATGCAGCTGAGCCAGCAGAGGCCACCAGCCTTGCTATAAACTCAGGCGAAGACACTGGAGCTGACGGTTCCACAGGCATTTATGCAGCAATCTCGAGTGGCCCGCTCGACCCTGCTCACCAGCCACTTGAGCACACTGATGCTGCTGCCCCTGCTGAAGGCATTTGGTTTCTCCTTTTTGCACCTGATAGGAGACCTGAAACCATATGGCTGGCGGCACAAGCGCCTTACACTTGGGATGAGGCGTCTGCAACAATCCCAGATGCGAGAGACCCCGAACATCGCGAATTGTACGGGTATATCTGCAAGGTTCATCCCCAACCGAGTGCAGAGTTTGCTAGTCTGATATGCCTTCCCATGTGGGCAAGACAGCGCACTGCAGTTCTTCTTGATAGCCGGTCATTCGATGGACGCATGTACTGTCTAATCATAGACCCGTGGATCCAGTGGGGTTCCTTTCTCCTGCATACCGGTCTGCCGGATACTGACAACTTCGTAATCGTGGTCAATGGAGTCGCCAGAGCTAGAGGGAGGCCGCTAATTCTCAAACAAGGCGACTTGACACAGGTGCTTGAATACGGGGCCTCAATCCCACCTGCCTTAGATCTCGGCGACTTGATGTTTGTCGGTGATCACTGGGTGGCGGATCCCCCTCTGGCTTTCTCCTCCTCGTTCTCGCACTACTGGGTCCTGCACGAAGGAGGTGCGCGAGGCATCGACGCAGACTTTCATGCCATTAACAGTGCATACGGCTTCCAGGAGTTTGCTGCTGATGCCTTACAGTTTGCGCAGCATCGCACCACCCTAAAACTGCCTCTCCTCAAATTCATGATGGTATGTATAAAGGTGTTCTTTGCAGAGCAGTTGTGCTTGTTACAGAATGTCTCCCCACCATACCTGTCCCGCCTGCCAGACTCACTGTGCCGCTCACAGTAGTCTTCTTAGATATGCGCCCGGTGTTATGTGGCTTCAACTGGCGCATCCTTGCCCGGGGGGAAACTGCTCTAGATGTTTTCACTAGGGGCTTAAACCTGGAGCCCCCCTCAGGACACTGCATCCACATAGAAGGCGGGAGCCGCACTGTCCGCAAAGGAGTCATGTTCCTGCAAGCCGACGACAGATCAGTGCTTGTTATCTCCTATGTTGAGCAAACGGATACCGGGCTTGTCGCGGACCCGACAACTCACAGTGCGGACTCCGACTCTAGCACAGACTCTACTTCCGGCCATGATGAAGGCGATCCTGACGACGTAATGCGGGAGGCCCATTCAGCAATACGTAGCCGTTCTCCTCGACACAATCGGACCAGGCGTCGGAATAGAGGACATAGAGGCGGTGCTGGCCCGGCGGCCCCCATCTCAGCAGTTGCCATCAACAAGCTGGGCGTGCTTACTACGCCTCCGAAGCAAATTGCTACAGCAGTCAATTGGATTGAACTCCACAGTCTCTTCTGTGGTGATCTGCATTCTTCCTTTGCCCCTCCTGGAAGAGTAAGCAAGGAGCTGTATCCCCCTGCTGCTGAGGGAACAGCCTGCAAAATCCTTGTAGAGCCGAATGGTGGTTCAGCCAGTAGGGAAGTTATCATAGCACATCTTCGTTATGTTGCGCCGCGTCTTGGTTTCCCTTGGCGCCACATGTCTCCCATCAATGCCCTGCGCATTGATGACGGCAGCGATTCGGATTCCGATGAGGATGTCCTTCCCTCTCCGCCAGTTCGAGTCTGCTTCCGTATAATTGTACCGGGCTTTGATGCTGAAAGGGTTGAGGTCAGTTTAGTCTTCCCAACCACCCTGGCAGAGGTAATCCCTCTCGTACAGGATGCCCGTTGCCGGACCCGCGTGCAGAGCTTCCCAAGGCTCATACCGGCGAGCCCGCAGCCACTCATAGGTGATGGTGTTTTCATTGCTTGCCCGGCATGGTCTGTCGAGGTGGCCACATCGCGCAGGCAGGTTTGCATAGACTGCTCTGCATTGGATGGGAGAATATATTCTGCCCTTGTTCCGCCATACTTCTATGGTGCGAACATACCGGGACTCGTCAACTTACCCAGTAATCTTGAATACTCGGTCTTTGCGGGTCCGTACGGTGACCTCCTACAGTGGGACAGCCAATGCCATCTAGTTGATGGAGACACAATTTTTGTGTGCCCTGAGGATTCGGCGTCCCCGACAGTAGTACCTCTGCATGTAGCGCTGCTTGACCGACAGCATTGGATTCGCCAGCCTAGGGTTCCTGAGCCGCGGTCACATGGAATTTGCTGTGTGGTCTTTGGCGCCGACAATATCTTGCACATTAATACGAGAGGTCAGCGCGCTAATTTCAGGGCTCAATTAGCTGCTTCCGTTGGCGTGCCACAGCGCTCCATGCGAATCACCTCGTCCTCCCCTCGCGTGCTCAACGCAGCAATTGATGGATTCTCCTGTCGTTCTGTCATTGTCGTGAGTGAAGGGGCGCCCTTGGGCGACCCGACCATGCATTGGGTCCTGCTGGATGCGCGAGCCCTGTTTCTTGGTTGGCGAGGCCTACCCGCACCACATGGCCAAATTTCCTGCCGCAGTGTCATTGATGGTCTACTGCGTGAGATCGGCTCTGGATGGCGCTTATGGTTGAGGGACGTCCCTTTCAGTATGGATCTTCTTGACACGCGAGAAGGGCAGGTCCTTGTAGTTGAGGTTATCCACGAAAGACTCGTCCGACCCCCAGATAGGTCTGGAGCTGCAAATGCTCCAATGGAAACCCTGTTGGTTGCCGCTTCTAGTCGTGCAGCTGATGGCGGGTCAGCTGATACAAATAATGCACCAGTTGTTAGAACCCATACTGGGTCCCAGAACGGAGGGGGTGACTCGCCCGCTGATCGCCACCCTGGCGACGAAGGGCACAACCACCAGCCTGACAATGGTGATCCGGACTCCACAGACTCTGTGCCTAGTCCTAATTATACTGAGGTGCCCTTCTTAATCTTGAAGCAGAATTATGATTATGAGTGGATCACTGTCCGGTTGGCCTTAGGCACCGAGATTCGCGAGGCACTTAATGCTGCAGCTGCAGCCAGGCCTCCTGCTGCTGCAGTTCGAGTACCCATCCTTTGTGCGGTGCACCCACAGCCCAGTGGCAGTTATGCTCTTGTTGTCGGCCTTCCTACATGGCGGCATCCAGGTTCTATTATAGCTATAGATAGCCGTGCTTCCAATGGCAGGTTGTTTGCCCTGCAGGTTGTAGGGCATTGCTATCGCCACGACTTCCTGAAGTTAGCTGGGCTGGCTGATACGAATGATCACGAGGTATATTTCCGAGACCTCCCATGGCCTTTGCCTGCGGATAGCCCTGTCAGCCCCGGCAATGGAGACCTGGTCCTTATACGTCCGCGAGCTGCCCGACACCATGTTGTTAGCAGTCTTGCTGACATGCTCCAATCGATCACTGACTAATGGCAGGTCCAGCTGCTGTTGACAATGCCTGTGACATTGCTTGGGTTCTTGGTTCGGCAGGCCCTTCTGCTCTCCAAGTACCGCGTCAGAGACAGCATCGAGCCCGATATGACATTGCTGCGCATACCGGCATACCTCACCGCGATCTTGCCCTGTCACCAGCCTTGGGAGGAGTGTCAGATTTCGCAGATAGGGGGGTCTTAATGCGTAATGTTGTTGTCGCTCGCTCTCTGGCTGATCCAAATGACGCCAACCGCATCAGGGCCCCGGTCTGTATCCTTGATCTACGGCCTATCCTGCTAGGCTTTGATTGGGTCTTGTGCCCTAATGGGATATTTTTGCCTGAGCGTATTCAGGCTCGGTTCATTCACCGATGCCCACCAGGGTTTCGATTAGGACGCATCGTTCATGATGCTTGTTTTAGTGACCTTCAAGACCCATTTCTTGTCCAAGATGGTGATGTTGTCACACTGGTGTTCCAGCAGTTTGACAGTTCCCTTGTCGGTCCCGAACCCGGGACACTAGGTGATCAGCCAGGTTCGCCTAATAGGGAGGAGGAGGAAGACCGCGGAACACCTGGTCGGACAGACCGTCCTGGCCGTACATCATGCTCACAAGCTACAAGTTCTTCGCCACCACCTGGTGGTGAAGATCCCCCCGCTTCCTCCACAGTCGGTGGTAGCTCCATAGGTAGAGCAGTTCATGCGTACCTGCCTTGGAAAGGCCGGTTGCCTACCCTGATGCTGAGGGATTGCCTTGACCTCTCTGGGAAAACTCAGGCCCCTCCTGGCGCGGGGCAGACTAGCCTCAGCCGACCTTGCCGCTGCAGAAAACTCGCGGCTATCTCACAAAGTCCGTGCTCGCCCTCCTGCTTCCTCGAAGCAGCTTGTGCTCGAACCCCTAGGCGACTTGCCTCAAGCAATCCTGCACTCTGTGACCTTCTTTTCTGTTGCCTCCTCCTTGTCTGGCAGCCGACTGGGTCCATGTTAGGTTTGCTCGCTTGTGTTCTTGCTCTGTCGGCACCTGCCCTCAGGCAACCACATGGCCCTATTTATGCCGGAAGTTGTGGCACTCTTGCACTCTCCCGCGCTGCCATTATTTTGGTATACCTTGCGCACCCAGCTAATGGTGTGCTCGGCATGCAACATCACGGTCACTGCGCCACTCTGAAGGCCCAACACATACAGGCCCCAAGAGCGATCCCTACACCAGTAAGAGCTGGGATAGCTCCAAGTAGCTCCTCACGAGCCCCCCTGGCAGCAGAAACTCGCAGCTCCCTCTGGCTCGCAGCCGACGGCCTGCCCTGGCCGCCTGTATTGAGCGATGCTACATGTCAAGGGTCACCAACTGATCAGGCTTTTTTCATGCGGGATGCACTGCATCACACTGAATGCCCGCTATGCTTCGATGAGCCTCTAGTCACACTACTTGAGGCCAGTGTTGCATCGCCTGACTCCCAGGCATTTTTTCTTACTGCAACTCTACTGGAAACAGTCTTTGAGCACTTTGAGGAGGCTGTTCACTGCTCACCATTCCCGGGCCAGGTTCGACAGCTCCGCTTGCATGAACATGTGCCCCCGCCCTCTTTCAACTTGGATGTTGATTGTGTCTCGCTACCACACAGCCAATCCTTGCTTAGCCGTCTTGTGCAACCGTGGCCGGCTGAATGGCTGCTCCCGCATGACTGGGCGCGAGACGACCTCCCGACAACCACCAGAGCTCAGTTACAACATGCTAAGCCATGGAAGCACTTTCTCAGCTCCGCTCCACGAGCCGAGCTATGTTTCTCCATTTATACTGACGGCTCTGCGACCCATGATGGTCGTGCCAGTGGCTTTGCTGCGGTCATCCTGGTGTGCACACAGGACACAACTTTCCCCCTGGGGATTGTTGGTGGAGGCATCCTTGGATGTAGTACCTCGCCCTGGGTAGTCGATTGCCCTGCTGCACTGCACGCCGAACATGTTGCTCTGGCGGTCGCTATCCTGTGGTGTCTTCAAATGACTGGAGTGTTGCAGTGTGTAACCTGCCAACTGTGTTTTGACTGCACTGCTGCAGGTTGGTCTGCGGAAGGTTCATGGCAGACCCTTAGCCATACCGGAGCCCTGGTTCACCACCTTGACATGGTGGCCAGGGCTACCCCTGGTGTCCATCTAACATATTCACACGTCAAGGGCCACTCCAACCACCCTTGGAATGACCTAGCCGATTTTGTTGCAAAAACAGCCTCGCGCGGACAGGTTTGGCCTGGTCCTCCCCAAGACCTTTGTGTAGCCTTGCACGCCCAAGATATCACGTGGCTTGCGGTTGAACAGGATGCGAGGTTGCACCACGCTGTTCCGATCTATGACGGGGCCCTAATTTATACATCGCCGGGGACAGACTCTGAGCTTCTCCCGCCCGAACATCTCATCCCTGTCACTGGAGGTACACACCCACCCGCTGCTACTGCAGGACAGCGTTGTTGGGCATATATCGCGACTATCAACGTTCAGAGTCTGCGAGGTAAATGCAAGTACATCGAAGAGCAGCTGCACTCTCGAGCTGTGAATGTCGCATGCCTCCAGGAAACTAAGCTTGATAGTGGTACGATCACATCACAGTATTATGTGCGCTTGCACTCACGAGCCGACTCTCACTGGGGTGTTGCCGTTTGGGTCCATAAGCAACTTGGGGTGCTTTGCTTGGACGGTGAGCCTCTGCACGTCGATGAGCATGATGTCGCTGTTCTCCACGAGTGCCCAAGACTGATTGTGCTACTGATCACCAAAGGTCAGCTCAAGATTGGCCTTATCAGTGGCCACTGTCCACATTCCAATCGGCCTGGGGAGAGGGATGAATTTCTCGCTGCTATTGCACCGCTTTTGCAACGACTGAAACATGTCCATTTTGTTTTAGGTGGTGTTGACCTTAATGGTCGCATCCCTCCCAACTATCAGGGCGTAAGTGGCTCGCTGGAGTTTGGTGAGGCTGATGCAACCGGATGGAGTTTTGCCAGTATCCTTGCCGATAGTGGTTTATGGGTCCCCTCGCTCTTTTCGCAGCTTCACTGTGGTGATTCTGCCACGTACACCCACCCCAGTGGGAAGCAGCATCGCATTGACTACAACCTGCTGGGAGGCCAAGCTGTCTTGGAAAAAGTTAGGTCTGAGGTTGACTGCACCTTCGACAACGGTAGCCCGCAGGATGATCACATGCTCTTAGGCTTAAGTCTTCATGGATACCTTGATGCTAATGGGCATACCCGTAAGCTGCGACGAGCGTGATATGATCGAGATAAGCTCATGACCAGTGAGGGAAGGGAATGCCTCCGCCAGAAGCTCCCTTCCTTCCGACATCCGGGCTGGGATGTTTCCCCTGACCAGCACTGTCGCGAGATTGAGCAGCATATCAGTCGGATCCTTGATACCCATTTCTCTGTGCCAAGGTCCCAGAAAAAGGCCTCTTACATACCTGAGCGGGTATGGCGCCTTAGAGAGCGCAAGCTCGCCTTCAAACAGCGTGTCCGTTATCGCTCTAAACTATGGCATGACCTGGTGTGCCGGGCTTTCCACCAGTGGAAGGAGTGCCAAGACTACGGTGTGGTGTTTTTGCTTGAAAAGCAAAGCAGACTGTACGAACTGGCAGCAGTCGCAGTCCAGTTGGTCACGAGAGTCATCAAGCGAGAAATTTCCCTTGCCAAGAGCGAATTTTTGCATAAAATAGCCTGTGAAGGACATCAAGGAGCTGCCAAAATACTTCAGCGTGTCAAGCAAGCTGGTGTTGGTGGTACCAAGGCACGGCCCATCTCTCGCCCATTGCCTATGCTGTTGCACCCATCCACCGGCTCTGCTGTCACTACAAGGCAACAACGAGACGAGGTTTGGATGCTGCACTTTGGCAAGCAGGAACAAGGCCAGGCCATCCCGATCAGCACTTTTCTCCAGGAAGCCACTTATAGTTGCTACCAGCCAGACATGAAGTGGACTGCTGACATGCTTCCCACTTATGCCGATGTCGAACGAGTACTGCGAGCGATTCCACGAAACAAGGCAGCTGGTCTGGATAACATCCCTGGAGAGGTGTTGAAGGCTGTCCCGGCTGAGACAGCGCGCCTCCTTCTCCCTCTCTTTCTGAAGTCCATGGTGCTGCAGCACCAACCGATACAGTGGAGAGGGGGTGTGCTCTTCGAGGCCTTCAAACGATCGGGACTGCAGAGTTCTGTTGATAACTATCGCAGCCTGTTTGTCTCCAGTTACCTTGCTAAAGCCTATCATAGAGTAGTGCGAGACAAAACGCAGGCCTTTTGCCGAGATGAAATGCACTCACTGCATCTCGGATCAAAGAAACGTGCCCCAGTGACATTCGCGTCAATGTATGTGCTTGCGCACCTGCGCCGCGGATGTGCACTTCGTCGGAGTGTTTCTGTGCTGTATTTAGACACATCGGCTGCATACTACCGAATTGTTCGAGAACTCGCAGTTGGGGACATTCGTGACGACCATACAGTGATTCGTCTCTTCAAATGCTTCGGCCTTTCCGGCGATGACCTCCATGATTTACTGGAAACGGTTGAGTCTGGAGGTATGCTAGCGCAAGCGGGTGCACCGGATGCGTTGCGTCAGGTCGTGAAAGATATTCATCTCCACACCTGGTTTGTCTCGCGATTCTCAGACGGTACCCAGGTCTGCAGCAGTCTGGCTGGCAGTCGACCTGGTGAGAGCTGGGCAGACCTGATATACGCATATATCTCTGGCCGTGTGCTTTCCAAAATCCACGAGTTTGCAGTAGCCGAAGACCTTACCTTCACGGTCACTCATGACCCAACAGCTGGAGTGTTCCCGCCCCAAGATGGCCACGACCTCCTGGCTGCCACTGATGCAACATGGGCGGATGATTCTGCATTCCCGCTTATCGCAGATGACCCTGAAAGCCTGATGCGGCAGACCTGCAGACTGTGCACTTTGGTTATCAGTTTCTGTGAGGGCCATGGTATGGCACCTAACTTGAAGCCTGGCAAAACCAGTGTCATGATTAGCCTTCAAGGTAAGGGACACAAGAAGGTCAGGCAGGCATTCTTCCCGAACGGTGAGCAAAACCTTGAGTTACCTGACCTGGGTGTCCGTATTGTAGTTGCTGACCACTACAAACACTTGGGAGGTTTCGTTGATTGTAAGCTCACCATGAGGCAAGAAGTTCGTCACCGACTTGCGCAGGCCTCTACCTGGAACGCCATAGTTGCCTACAAAAGTTG